TCGAGGTAAATTTTTGCAGCTGGAGCTGGTCGTAACCCGAAAAGTTCGTTAACAGAGGCGTTCGTAACCCGAGGTTCCACTGTATATCAAAAAATGAAGCAAACATCTTTTAGTAATCGGGACTTTTGTTGCTCATAAATTAAACAGATACAAAAAGTTCTTATCACAGTTCTGTGAACCACTTGTCACTACAAGAATGCCTGTCATATTTCAATTTTATGAGAAATTCAATTCCTAGTATTGATCTAATTTATTAATGCCTATAGTGTCAGTTACTGATTTCCCTACAATGCACTGAATATGCCTAATATGATGCACCCAATACCATGGATGCATGGCTCATTTTCACAGGATTGCAAACAAGACATCATCTTTGCAGGCATCGATATGGATTTACAACTCTGGGCATATTCTTGAATGTGTAGCAAACCAGCTGTGATTATGAAACCTCCACTTACTGAAGCAGAAGAAATTCTAGAATTTTTGGCTTCCATATGTGGTTGAACTTCCATCAGCAATTGCTAATAATAAATAGTGCAAGATAACTAGCTATAGGCCAGTATCATCAATTTTAAATTGCACAAGTCTAAGTCAGAAATTCATAAAGGAAAAGTCTGAGTCTATACATATACATATATACCAAAGCATTCTCTAAGAGTTCCATGGTAAATTATTTTAATAATATAATGTCTGACACTGGGTAGTACCTAAGTTTATAGGTGGTCATGTAGCAAGTTTTATTTATTAAATTTCTATATTGCTTCAATCCTGCAGATTCTAATGAGTAGACAATTTATAGATACAGGTAATATAATAAATATCATGAGAAAAATACATATGACAAAAAAACAATGACCAATTAATATAATCCTACATTCTGGTATTGGTCCTACTCAGACTAATCAATCTTCAAAGGCCTTCCAAAAAAGCCAAATTTGTTGTCTCTGATTATTTTGTAACAAATTCTAGAGCAGTGTTTCTCAACCTTGGCAACTTTCAGATGCGTGGACTTCATCTCCCAGAATTCCCCAGCTGGCTCAATTCTGG